CTGACTCTAACTGCTCAGCCACTAGTCAAGCACTCAGCTTAACTAAACCTGACTCTGATACTATGATAGAATATGAGATGAGTCTAACTTCTCACCCAAAAAAACCTTGTTGAATGAGAGAATTACCTCTCTTATAAACCAGTTAGCTTAACGTGTATAGTTGGTATAAGACTCAATAGCACATCATAATTGAAGGACAGAATTGTTTTGAAAGAAAGGAAAGGTACGCCCAAAGTCACGTGAAATATATATAAATATCATTATCATTAGCAGCGGATGAAATAATAATGGCCAAATTTTTTCTAAATATCCCAAATCAATACACATCATAATTGAGGGACAAATTTGTTTTTAAAGAAAGGAAACGAAGGAAGGTATGCCCAAAAGCCATGTGAAATATAATAGTGCTTGGCTTAATTTTAAATAAACCAACTTTTTTTATTGCGATGATATGACTTTTTCAAGATAATAGAATTTTAAATTTTCATTAAAATAAATACTCCCTCCGTTTTTTTTTAAATGACGTTTTGGGGGTATAATTTTTTTCTAAATAAGTGTCGCTTGTCTTGTCTCAGTTATATCTCTATTCTCTCATTTTTGCGATGGCCCACATCTCTTCTCTTTCTCTTTCTTTGCTCTGCGTGTCTGCCTCAATATTATCTCTCCACTTTTTTGTATGCCCACGCCTCCTCTCTCTTTTTGTTTACATTAAAAAAATCAATACATAAAAAATTGTGCAATTAGCTAAAGCGTCACTTATTTGGAAACGGAGGGAGTATATAACTTAACTTAAGACAATATTTTTTTCTTTTGCTTTAAAATTAAGTAAAAAAAGAAATTAGGTTGTTAAAGTCAAATTATGTCAACATAAGTTCCAATTATGATTCGGAGCCTCTGCATTGAATATTCCTTGTAGTGGAAATAGTCAGTTTAATTACACACCATTCAAATTATGCTAAGTTATAGAATTTAATTATATGAAAGAATTTAGAACTGAGTCGAAGACATAAACATGTTCTGTCATAGTCATCGAATTTAATGCTTCGTGATATGAAAGAATTTTAGTGGTTGGCATATAAACGGGACCACTGATTATGTGGACGATACATATAGTACGTATAAATATCTTACGCGTTATCTTAATTTCAACATAAAGATATTTATACACATCATTCTTGAATAAAATTAATTTGGGTCCCATAGATGGAGAAAATTCTTTACAGTGAAATTTTCTAAATATCTCAAATATAATTGAGGGACAAAATTGTTTTGAAAGAAGGGCAGGTAGGCCCAAAAGCCATGTGAAATATATTAGTCCTTAGCTCAAAGTTAATCGAGAGCACTAAAATTCAAGACATACATGAAAAAAAAAATGCCAGAATTTGGACTATAGTGATTATAATTAATTATTTAGAAAAAGTAGAAGAAAATTGATCATATATGCTATCATTTGTCAAAAAATGGGGTGGGTGGGTTCTCCATTGTCAGATTAATTACATTTAATATAATAGCTCATTAATCCCATCATTTGTGCAATTACCATATGCTTTCGGATTATTTTAACCGCCTGAGGTTTGGAAAAATTTGATAAACCCCCTACCGATTAGTAACTTTCTGTTGGTTTTGACAGAATTTTGTTAAATGACACTTGCGATCCTTGTACTTTTCTTGGATCAGGAACTAAGGAAGTTTTCAAAATTGGCAGATTTATCTTTCTTAGGTAAATAGAATTTCACAGTTTGAATATTGTCGATTTATTTGAGAGTTAAATCTATTGAATTATTTGAAATTTCATGTACAATTACTTGGAAATAATTTTATAAGTGGTTTAATTTGTCTTTTTTTTTTTTTTTTTTATTTATCCTTGTTGGGTTTTCTATAAAAGAAAAATTATAAATTGTTTATGTATAATTTAAATTTTAGGTATAGTTAAAAAGAGAGAATTTTGTAAGTTGACTAATTTAAATATTTACTTTTAACTTATAAGTTGGGGGATTTCGAGACAGTCAGGCCAAAGACATCTAGGTTTGGAGGGAGAGAGGACTAGCAGTTGCGAGGTATGGGGTTTGATACGAGTGGCGGCAATGGGTTAGAGAGGGAGAGAGGGGCGGCGACTATGGGTGACAAAGAGGAAGATTGTGGGATATGGAGGGAGAGAGTAGCGACAGTGTGGGTGAGTGGGTTAGGTTGAGGGGTTTTTTTTTTTTTTTTTTTTTTTTTTTAAATTCATGACATTGTTTATAATATAAATTTTATATAGACCAACCAAGCGAGGCCCCCTTTACATGTTAGACATAAAAGAAAAAATATTATTATATAATATTAAAAATTGTTATATTTTTTTAAAAAAAACTAATAAATCTAAAAAAATGAAAATAAAAAATGTGAAAAAGTTAAAATTAAAAAATTTGGAAAAAATAAAATTCAGAATTATCTACACAAAAATTAAAAGAATAAAAAAAATTGCAAAACTTTAGAAAGTTAAAAAAAAAAAATTAGAAAAAAAAACCCATTGCTAAGTTACATCTGGACAAAATTTTTAGACTTTAGCTTTTTTTTTTTTTAAAGTATTTTAATTTTTTTTTAAATTCTTAAAAGTATTTTAATTTTTGTTAGTTAAATATTTGTAATTTTAGGCTGAGGGTTAGAATTATTTAGGAATTTAAAGAAAAAATATTAATTATTTACTTTTCTTTAAATGTAAAAATGAGTTGTTAATCAATTTTAGGGTAAAATAGTCAAGTTCAAAATATAATCAATGTAAATTCACAACCGTGTTTAGTCAAAATTGGTCAACTCTCATATTTTACAAGAAAAAACTGATAGCAGGGCGTTTGTGAAGTTTTTTATTTTGTGAGTTTTAGGGGTGTCAGAGTATTAACCCTTCAGGATTATAAAACTGACCTTTACTCTTTTACCCTTTATCCTGTTAAAAGTTAAAACTAACGAAGAATTTTGACGGCAAAGAATTGAACGCAATTAATGAAACAATTACGTTACTTTCACACATATTGGAAAAAAAAATTTAAAATACATTTCAATATTCAACGCACTTGGTTGACTCCTGCAATATGCAATAAATTTTAGGACAGTATATGTGTGGCAGCATTCACATAACACAAAAGCATACGAAACAAATATCTCCATTTCTTCTCTTTCATCCTATTGATCATATCTGAGTATGGCTGAAGCAATAGTTTCGGTTGCCTTGGAGCGCTGGATCAATTCTACTTCCAACTGCTGGCTTCATAGAAGAACAGGTGAGGCTAGTTGGAGACGTTGACGAAGAAGTAGACAAGCTTAAGAACAATCTTCAAGCTGTGCTACTTGATGCAGACCAAAAACAGATGAAGTATAGAGCTGTGAGAGTTTGGCTGAATCGGCTCAAAGACGCATGCTATGACGTGGAAGATGTGTTGGATGAGTGGAACACTGAAATCATGAAACTGAAAATTGGGGGAGGATATGTTCATAATGCTCTTGCTCCTAAGAAGAAGGTATGTTGTTTTTTTTCCTCTCCTTGCTTTGGCTTCAAAGAAGTTGTTTTACGTCATGACATTGCAGTTAGGATAGCAGAGATAAATAGGAAGTTAGATGCTATTGCAAAAGAAAAAGGTGATTATAATCTTAATGTCATTCCAGCTAATGAGAGACCTGATTATCAGCCAATGCAAACTACTTCTTTTATTGATGTATCTGATATATGTGGTAGAGATGTTGAGAAGAATAATTTAGTACGCAAGTTATTGTGTGAGAGTAGAGAACAAAGCCTCCAAACCATCTCACTTGTAGGGATTGGAGGAATTGGAAAAACAACTCTTGCTCAATTTGCCTACAATAATGATGAAGTAAAGAGCCATTTTAATTCAATAATATGGGTGTGTGTATCAAATCTTTTTGATGAGTTCAAGATCGCTAGAGTGATCATTGAAGCTCTAAAAGTTCCTACTCCTAATGTAGAAGATCTACAATCTCTTCTTCAACGTATTCATAACTCTATTGTGGGTAATAAATTTCTTCTTATTTTAGATGATTTATGGAATGAAGATCACAAAAAATGGGAACCGTTCTTTCATTGTTTGAAGAATGGTCTCCATGGAAGTAAAATTTTAATTACCACTCGTAAAGAGTCTGTTGCACATATTATGAATTCAATTGATATTATCAATGTTTAAGTATTGTCCTTTGATGAGAATTGGTTACTATTTAGGAGTCTAGCTCTTTCTAAAAGACCTACTCATGAGAGTGAAAAATTAGAAGAAATTGGTAGGGAAATCGTTAAGAAGTGCAAGGGGTTACCTCTTGCTACAAAAACCATCGGGAGTCTTTTGCATTTTAAGAGGATTAGAGATGAATGGTTACGTGTTTTATATAGTGAGATGTGGAAATTAGAGGAGATTGAAAGTGGTCTTCTATCCCCTTTGATGTTGAGTTATAACGATTTGCCCTCCTCGATAAGAAAATGTTTCTCTTATTGTGCTATCTTTCCAAAAGATTACCTTATAAGAAAAGACGTATTAATTAATTTATGGATGGCACAAGGTTATTTGGGATTAGAAAAAAATACAAAGTTAGAGACAATAGGAGAAGAGTATTTTCACCACTTAGCAACACGATCTTTCTTCCAAGAATTTTCATCAGATTATGGAGGTGCTATGTGGGACTATAAGATGCATGATATAGTGCATGACTTTGCACTATTTTTGAGTAATGGTGAATGTCTTGCTATAGAAGTCAATATTGGTGATAATGATCCATTTTCTAACACAAATGTTCGTCATTTAATGTTAAATGTTAATAGCGGGGCTCTATTTCCCATGTCCATTTGTAGTGTCAAAAGTCTACGTAGTCTTGTGATTGAGTATTTCGATTCATTGTCAAGTGATGTTTTGCCAAAGTTATGTGAATTAACATGTTTAAGGGCATTGAAGTTCACAACAGATATTTTTCCTTGAGAAGTTACAGAGATTCCAAAAGAGATAGAAAAATTAAGACATTTGAGATATCTTGATTTTAGTGGGCAATTTATCACAAGATTACATGAAAGTTTGTGTGAATTATATAATTTGCACACTTTAGATATTTCTTGGAGTAGCGTAACTGAATTACCTAGTGGCATAGTAAAATTAGTAAATTTGAGGCATTTAAAAAATGAGACATCGTCGTTGCTTTGCACACCAAAAGGGATTGAGAAATTAACAAGTCTCCAAACATTATCAGAATTCGTTATAAGCTGTGGTGGTGATTATGATAGCAGAGCATGTAGTCTTGAAGGAATTAAAAATTTGAATAATCTTGAAGGGAGCCTTCGAATAAGAGGGTTGGGAAATATGACAAATGTGAGTGATGGTAAAATAAAAGAAGTACTCAAGAATAAGAAATACCTTACCGGTTTGTATCTGCAATTCGATAAGGGAACGGAAAGAGTTGGTTTCTTTAGGGATATGGTCTCCTGGAAAATTGCTGAAGAAGGGGAATCGTGTGAGGATTATGAAGTAGTCCTTGAAGCTTTACAACCACCTCCAGAATTAGAGTGGTTGTCGATTACATACTACGCAGGCAGAACTTTCCCCTCCACTTGGAAGACGTCATTAACCAAGATGAAGAGTTTAAGTCTTGACTGTTGCCTAAACTGCAAGAATTTGCATACTTTGGGAGAATTGTCATCCCTTGAAGAACTATCTATAGATAGCATGAGAAATGTGAAAAAAATGGATAATGAATTTTGGGGAATTGATAGTGGAGCCTCTTCATCCTTTGCTTTCTTCCCCAAATTGAAACAACTCAAATTTTCGGGATTAGACGAATGGGAAGGGTGGACTTACGAGAGTACAAAGAAAGGAGAAGAAGAAGAAGAACATATTGGATTCATGCCATGTCTTGCTACCTTGAGAATCGGTTACTGCAACAGATTAGAGGCACCGCCAAACAGCCTTCTGCAGAGGACAACACTCAAAAAATTGGAGATTAGTGGATGTCCTATTCTAGAAGAACGATACAAAGAAGGAACAGGAGAAGACTGGTCCAAGATCTCTCACATCCCTACCATCAATATTGGAATATAAATGGGTCAAACGGAAGCAATAAATATCAACCCACTAGCCACAGGTAATCACTTAAATGTTCAATCACTTCAGCTTATTTATTGTTGTTTTTTCAAAAATTACTTATTAAAAATGTTAAGTTTGATGTTCATTGTTGTAATCACTGAATTTTCTTTACTGTTTCTGCAGGCTTGGAAAAAATTGACCCAAGTCTGGTATTCACAGATGCAATGACTTTTCTGGTGCTACTCATGTCTGATATGAGAAACCCCAGGTGATTGGTCATTGGATTTCCATATAGTCGTTTATCCTTGGATTTCACATTCTTTAATTAATACTCAATCAATGTTCATTCAGAGGCACAAATTTATTAGTCCAAGAGGCTTAAAAGACAGGACAGCACAACAATTTGAAAATTTACAATAAGTTTAATTTTGTATCAATAGTCCTTGGTGAGCTTCTATATTGGGATAATTTACAAATTTAAGAATTTATTCATGAAAATCACATTCTAATGTTTGTGATTGTGTAAATTAATATTAGGTTATGGTTTTATTCATGAAAATCACATTCTAATGAATTTACAAATTTTTGTGATTGTGTAAAGTCGATATTAGGTTGTGGACCTTGTGGTTTATTGATTAGGGCTGAATTTGTCCCTTTAATTATGTTCAGGGGGTAAACTGTTATATTTCTATAAGGTTTATTTTGTCACTTTTCAGTCGTGCAGAGACCAAATTTTACCTGGATTACTATATAAATAAATGAAGTTGCGCAAAACCAGATGGGCAGCCGAAAAACCCCCACCGTTCGCCGGATTCCGGCCATTTTGGGCCACCCTTGACCTCCCCTTGTGCCGGTTCATCTTCCACCATCATCTCCACCGTAGATATAACGGAATCGGGGGACGTTTGGGCTTCCTTCGTGCGACCTTTCATCTTCCGGCGAAGGTTTGGCTTACATATTGTGAATCTTCGGCTTCCAGGCGAGTTTTCGCTCACTTTCCGGTGTCAATGCTAATAATAATGAATCAATGTTACAAGTTAGAGTTTTTCCAATGGGAAAAGGAATTTAATTTTCGAAGTGGCCATAATGCTTTTTGATGTACAGGACAGAGATAGCAGAAAGTGACCAACAGGAGAAGAGAGGAGGACTTGCTATAACATCTTTCATTTCTGTTACCTTTGTGAGCTCTGTTTTTGATTTTCTGCATAAGGTCTCTGTTTTACCTTTGTGAGCTTTGATGCAGTGACCAAGTTTAATGTATCCTAAATATTTTTGAAGAAATCAAAAGACTATAAGCAGAGATATGACAGGAGCTCTTATCATACTGGAGAAGATTGACAGAGGCAATTAGCCTTGAAATATATAGCATAACATCTCCTTACTTCTTAAGGTTGCAACCTGTTCTTTTAAGTGGTATTGTTAATATTAAGGCATGGATCTTTATATTTAAAGTTTCAACTTCCAGTTCCAAAACAAATACTTTTTGTCTCACTGCAATTTTTTTCACTAAAATACAGGGGAGGGTGATTATGGGACCAACCACAGGAGGAAGGAGTTATTCTAAATGACTTTACTCAGAAATGGAGAATTATCACTTGAAGTTGCTAGAAAGGAACAATATTGTGTTTCTGCCCCAAAGATCAAATTGATTAGTTATGCTTGGTAACTTCTCTCTTTTTTTTCTTCTTTGGTTTATGTTTAATCAAAAATACTATTACAGAGTATCTAGCTTATTATCCTGTGTTTCTTCACACGCAGTTGATTTGCTACTAAGGCTATCTATGCTGATAATATAATACTCTGTTACTGATCAGCAGAGAAAATACTCAAGAACTCAATGTCTAGGTTTCACATTTGCTTGGTGGGCTTCCTGAAATTTACATTTGCATTTCCTTCATGCTTTTTATCTTTCTTGAAAATAAATTGCTACTGACGATAGACACTATCTTATGAGCATATATCATTTTTTTCACCAATGTTGCTGAAAAGAACTTGTGATTAGGGAATGGATTTATGCTTCACATACAGAATATCTTTAATCCTATATAATAGTTTCTATTTCGTGTCACAGTGTGGTTTTAGTAGTAAGTGGTCATCCAATGATGCATTTTGGTGACAAGTCCAGCATCATGGTAGGCATGAGTATGCCAGACAGCGAAATCTAATCAAAGAAACTTACGGTATGTAACAACTGATAAGCTATAACATGATTTTTGTACACTCTCTCGCATGTAATTTCAGTTGTTGATATGGAAACTTGATTATTTGAATAAATTGATCTTATTGCTGTGAAGCAAGTTTATCTTCATGGATTGAAACTCCGAATGCAATTTGTAATTGTATTGCAGAGCTTGGTCTTGGTCAACCCTGAAAATCAATCTTGTTATCTCCAAGAATATCCTGTGATACAACCTGCACAATGGATAAAATCCATTTTTATTTTCTCTTCTAGGAGAATTCGGACACAACTCTAATGTGTTTTGAGCAGTTTCCGCATCAACAAAAAACATTCACCAGCTCCGTCATTAATTTGTTCCATCAAACAAGATGCCCTTGTCCGCAGGCTATGGAATGTGCACATTCATCTTCAGGGTTAACCATGGAAGAGCAGAATTTCAACCTTTGGCTTTCCCTTGATGACAAGCTTTCATTCATGCAATGGAATTTGGAGCTTCTTGTGTTCCAATCATGTCAGTATACAACTCAACCATATCCTTCACCATTTGAAGTGACATTGTAAGTAATAGTGTATTTCAGTGGTAATGAGTTAAATTTGTTAGCAATTGCCTCTAAAAGCCTTGGATGCCATTTCCTTTGTATTCAATTCTCTGATAGTTTTCAATTAAGTTCAAACAATTAGTTAATGCAGCATATTATTTCGGTACACTAGATTTTGTGTATTATAAATGTTTTGTATCATTTCAAATGTGCTTCCTGATTAATTATAGGACGAGAGACTTCGTCCCAAATGATCATATAAATATTTTTGTTGTTTCTATATGGTGCACAATTTATTACACTGGAAAAGATACATAATTTTCTGTCAGGTTTTAACATTCAAAAGCACCAAATTAAGGAAGCTTCTCAATTTTCCCTAATTTCTGTCTGTAAAATCCTTTGACGCCATAAGTTAATTACCTGATGTAGTTTTAAATGCAATTATGCATTTTTGTTAATAAACTTTCAATATGAAAGAAAATATTTATTGAAGGTTATATGATTAATTAAGCCATTAGACAGTAATTGTTAGTTATACTTTCTCATTATAGCTCTCTATATTTCTTCATTTAATTTCTTCATGTTTAATTTATATGATCGTGTGCCTCTTTTAACAATATGATATTTTTAATTTAGAAGGCCTATTGTTGGTTTTTGAATGCTTTACGGCCCGTCAATACTCTATAGAGATTATAAAATTATAGAATAAATTAAAATTGACTTAAGTTAATGCATATATATAGGTGTATATAGATCATAATTTATATATATAAATTATGATCTATATACGCCCTACATTCTTGAATAAGATTAATTTGGGTCCCATATATACATGGAAAAAATTTCCTAGAATTGGTCATTGGACTCAAAAGGTTAGTTATATGATACTTTCTCTCAATGCTCTGTTTTTTTCTTCATTTATTGATGGTTATTTGAAACTAAATCATTCCATTGCGTGACAAGTTCTTTTTTTTTCCCTTAAAAATGCAGAATCAATTTACCAGTCATGCTAACAAGACTCTACAAAGAAATTCTGGGGAAAAGTTACCTGAAAGTTTGTGTGTTGCACACTTTAGATATTAGTGTGAATGCTACAGGAATTACCTCAGGACTGGAAAAATGAGTTAATTTGAGGCATTTATTAAATGCCTCTGTATCACTAACTTACATTCCAAAAGAGATTCAGAAATTAAGTGGTAATGACGATAGTAAAGCATGTACTTTTGAAGTATTGAAAATTTTGAATAAGCAGAACCTAAACAAATATTTCTTTCTTGTCTCACTGCAGTTTCTTGCCCTACAATAGACGAGAGAAGAAGAAGTCAATCTAAATGATTAGGAAAAGGAATCAAATTGTATGTTCCCAAAAGATCAATAGTTATTCTCATTAAAAAGCATATATTTCACAGAAAATTTTGACTGGCTATGTTGTTTTTTCTTCATATGCAGAATTGATGTGCTGCAAAAGCTGATTATGTGTGTAATCTAAATATCTGTTACTGATCAAGAGAGGAAATATACATAAGGTCACAGATTCTAGGAACAAAATGAAAATAAGCGAGATGAAACCAGTGTCCAATATCTGGTTTGCACATTTGCTTGGTGAGCTTCCATCAGATCAATATTTCTATATCCTTTTTGTTTTCTGTTTTTCTCGAAAAATTAACTTGTCATTGATAATAAGCATTGTTCAATGCATATATTATTGTTTCTTTTTAGACATGGTTGCTACAAAGAACGTCTGAACAGTGTCTGCATCATGCCAGCTGAAATGAGTGAGACAAAAAACATTCATCAGCTCCATCATTTGTTCCAGATTAGGAATAAACTGTGGATATTATCTGTGTCTCCCATTTCTGTGGCAACTTGTGGAGCAATTAAATTAGATCCATCTTCTTCAAAGTCCATCAACGAAGAGTACAGAATCAGCATAGGCTTCACCACATCAAGATGCCTGAAAAATGATCTTCCGTTTTCATTGTTAAGTTTTGTAGCTAACCATGAATTAAGTCTCCAAGAACAACATTACAACCCTTGGCTTTCCCTTGAAAACAAAGCTTGCAATGGAGTCTCGAGTTTCATGTTCAACTAAACAATATCCTTCACCATTTCGAAGTGCCTGAACATTGAAGCAAGATCATAAGTAATACCGTTTTCAAGTTTTAATGAGTTGTTTGTTGGATCCATTTCCTTTTTCTTCAATTGTCTGATGGTTAATATGGTTAGTAATGCATTATTGTTTGTCTCTCAGCTTTAACAGTTGAGGTGGAAAACATTTGCAGACTACTGAAAAGCATTTAAAACAGAGCATCTTCCTGAAACTCAATTATGCAGCTTAAGGGAGTTTTGACCATTCTCATCATTATTTCAGAAATGATAGATCAAACAAGTATATAGCGGTTGTATATTTTTTTACAATTAATTAATTAATTAGACAAAAATTAATGAAAACAAAGAATATGTTACATAACAACACAATTTGCCTCTATAAATTAGTTGAACACTGAGTTGTTGTAATCAGCTCTTAAATAAACTGTTTCTCTAATAGGGAAAAGTGTTCTATACACACATTCATATGAAAACAAAAAAAAATTCTACATATCCCAAATCAATACACGTCATAATTAAGGGACAAAATTGTTTTGAAAGAAAGGAAGGTAGGCCCAAAAGCCATGTGAAATATATTAGTCCTCGGCTTAAAGTTAATTGAGTAGAGGACAAAATAATTTTGAAAAATAAAGATAGATTGGCAAACACTTTTCACAAACACGACGTAATAACTCGCAATTGGTTAGCTCGTATTTAGTCAAAAAAACCCATTATTGTGCAAGTAAGATCCATTGTGAGTTGACACGTCACATTTATGAGAGAAAGTTGATGAAAATTGTTTGCCAGTGTAGTATCCCAATTTTGAAAGAAAGGAAAGGTAGGCCCAAAGTTATGTAAAATATATAAATATCAGTGCAGTACATACTAGTTTCATAGCATTAATGAACTATAGCCAATTACAGAATTTATTTCCTGTGAGCAAGCTGTGGGAAGACAAGTGCTGGACCATTAATTTGCTTTTTTTTTTTTTTTTTCCTTAGAATTATTGCTATCCAACGAGATGGCCGTCGTTTCAGCCTTTTCCGGCTGTCGCAGCCATAGCAATTCGTAGATCTGACCTTTCCGGAAAAGGACATAGCGACGCGTTACAGCACAGATCTAACTGGTCTGTGTCGTAATGAAATTTTTCGGCCAGATTCTAGCGATGGTGGCCGGAATCTGGCACTGCAGGTGGTGTGGGTGTTTTTGTCATTTTATATATTAGGGTCTTAATTAAATTAGTAAATCTAAGGACTTTTTCATAAATTTTTAAAGTTTACCTCGTAATACTCCCCTATCCAACAACCCAATACTATCCCCAAAATCCTATCCAAAATAATAAACCAAACATACCCATTGCTATCCAACGAGATGGATGGGGTGTATGAGGTTTATCTTCTCAATCATTAATGATAAATTTACTAATATAGAGTATGGGGTGTGAAAAAAAATCTTAAGCTTTAAGATGGGATGACAACTTAACATGATATCAAGACCAAAGGTCTGAAGTTCGAATCCCCACATACAAACTAGATAAAGAAAACTAAAGAAAAATTCAAGTTTGATGTGAAAGAGCCTATTGATCTAATATATGTTGAAACCCTACCTATTACCTTAAACTTTTAGATGAGATGACAACTTAACAAAGATATTCTTTTAATTTCCATCACTTGAAAATTATAGGAAATTATACTGTTGACATAACAATTAAATTTAATATCAGTACCATTGATCATGGATAAGAATAAGATTGACACGTATATGATCCCACATAGGGAGAAAATGATATAATGATTTTAAAACACTAGCTCATTGGTGAATCATGGGTGTTTGAAAGATAAACTAAGCTTAATACTATATTTTTTTATTTTTTTTATTGTTATTGAAAATATATATAAAAAAAAAAAAAAAATTTGATTGGCACGTGGTAGAAGGTTACCCTCATTAATTTATATATTTAGTTTGTACATGTAGCACCTCTTTTTTTTTTTTTTTTTTTTTTTTAAGATTTTGATGAGAAAATTAGCTAATTTTTTTAGTACTTTTATCAGGTTAAGAATCAAGATGAATTACAGTTCCAAATTTCTCCCCCAAAACTTACATGCTTAAATAAGCAACACAAACAAGTAATTACAAAATAAATACAACTTTTCTTGACTTAATCAATCGGGTAACAAAATTAACGAAATCAAAGAATAGGTTGCATAACAACACAGTTTGTCTCTATAAATCAGTTTAACACATATAGTTATTGTAATCAACTCATAAATAAACTGCATTTGTAATAGGGAAAAGAAAAGTCTTCTATGCACATGCTCATAGGACAAAAAATTTCTAAATATCCCAAATCAATACACATCGTAATTAAGGGACAAAATAGTTTTGAAAGAAGAGAAGGTGGGCCCAGAAGCCATGTGAAAATATATAGTCATTGACTTAAATTAAGAGTAATACTATTTGCATTAACCAATTTGTACTAATCCAAGTATTAATATTGAAAATTTAAATTTTTTTTTGGAGAAAATTTCAAATTTCCAATGTTAGTACTTAAATTAGTACACATTAATTAGTGCACATAGTTTTATTCTGAAGTTAATCGAGTGGGGGACAAAATAATTTTGAATAAAAGGAAAGGAAAGCTATGTGAATTGACATGTTTGAGAGCAATAAAATGCAAGCCATTATACATAAAACATTTTCCCACCCATTGTTTAAATTTAGACGTTGGTTTAAAGTTTAAACAGCAAAAGAGCATTCCTTTCAATTCATACACTAGATATTCAACAATGCTACAGACATCGGTGTTTTTACACCGAAATTTTGTATCGGCTTACATGTCTTCTGACTCAAACTATTCAATGCGTTTTACGTTAATAATTTTTTTCTACTGAACGGCCGACCATATGTTATGAACGGCCGTTCATTAACATAGACTCCCGTCCATATTATATGGATGGGAGTCTATTTACCAACGGATGGGCGTCCATTTACCAACGGATGGGCATCCTCATTTAAAGGATGCCCGTCCATTGGTAAATCAAATAAAAAATATTAAAAAAATTAGGGACGACCGTTTATAGGTTAATGGACGCCCGTCCGTTAATTTTGGACGGGCGTCCGCAAATAAGGAACGCCCATCCTTTTTTTAAAATATAAAAATTTTAAAAAAATCTAGGACGCCCGTCCACACATTATACAAATTTTTGTATATAAATTGATGTGGTAAAACTATTTTATTATCACATTATTTTTTTTAAATTAGTATTTATTGAATTAATTTTATATACGAATTCATATATTCACTTTGTGATACATCCATTTGTAGAAATTGTATAAGAAATATGTACAAAAATTTTATATATCTAATATTATTCGTATTGTTATTCATTTGGTTGAAATATCTGCATTTGTTACAGTGATAGCATTTCTAAAGTAAAAATATTTTGCTATCATGCTATGATGACAGTGATGATTGAGCATATTAATTGATGATAGTTTGAATATATATTCAATGCTATATGATGGACGACCGTCCAAACTATGATGGACTAGCGTCCAACAAATTCGGACGGGCGTCTACTGTTTTTTTTTTTTTTTTTTTTTAAACAACNAAATGTCAAAAGGAACATCGAGGTGCGATTCTCCACATGCTGCTGACAATGATCGGTGGGTGCAATATTTTAATTTATCTGATGTTGTATGCTTCATGCAATCTAAAATACTTTGATTAAGAGAACATGGTATGTTACATTTAATTAAAATGTTTTTGCAAAAAGAAAAATGTAATGCATTATGGCCAGGGGCGGACCCAGGCCATTTGAGAGTAGGCCTGGCCTTCCCTCAAATGAGTAAATAAAAATTTAAAAAAATTTTACTTTTAATTTTATGGGGTAACCAAATAATGAGTGTGAAGAATCCAAGAACAGAGGACATTTTCATTTTTCACTACCATATTTTATGCAACAAAAACCACTGCAACTTTAATGATGCAAAAATGCCTCTGCAATACACCATCTCTTTCTCTTAACTCAGAAGCTTTTGCAGAAACAATTTAAGTACTCATTCCTAGCAATGATGTCCTTTGAAATTTAGTAAAAACATTCAACTTTGACAGGAGTTCTCCTGAAGTTTTACAGACTGTCATAAAGTTCTCCTAAAATTCATCAAGAATAAATTTTATAATATTATTCAAAACCCAGTTCTACAAATGACCTTTACCAATTTTCTGAAATAAAAAAAATAAAAAAGCAAAAACTTATACAAATAATTGAAAGAATGAATCATTCTTTCAAAACCAATAATTATCAATTTTGTGCAACTATACAAGACCTAATCTTTGAACACAAACTCACGCTCGCTTTTCTCTTCAACTTCAACCTCTAAATTCTAAGGTATTTGCTCTTTTCAATTGTTTCTTGCATGTTTGGTTACTGAGAAAATGAGGTTGATTTTTCCACTTTTTTCTTTTAATGTGTTATTTTATTTTATTTTTGTGCTCTGAATTCTTAGTTATTTTTCGTTTAACTGTGTTTCCTTGATGAGAAAATGAGGCAAAGTTTTGTTCATTATTATTATTATTTTTTTTTTACTGTCTTTATCTTTCGTAATTTTCTCTAAATTCTATAGTTTTTATTTTATTTTATTAAGCTATTTTTAGTATGTTAGGTTGATGAGAAAATGGTGTTAAGTTTTGTTCATTTTTTTGACAGTTTTTTTGTTTTGTATTTTGCTCTGAATACTATGGTTTGTTTATTTTAATTTATTAAGGTGTTTTTAATCGTTAGATTGATGAGAAAATGAGGCAAACTTTTATGGTTTTTTTACCTCCTTCTCGTTTAGTAATATTGCTCTAAATTCTAATTTTTTTATTTAAGTATATTTTTTGCAGTATGTTTGGCTGATGAGTAAATGAGGCAAAGTTTTACTAAATTTTTAATCTCGATGGTTGAGTTTTGATTTTAATAGTTGGATTTGGAGTTATAAGCTTAAAGTTTGACTGTTTCTCTGGTGATTTTAATTTATTTCTTTATAAATATTTATATATTTGACTTGTGTTAGAGTTGTGATTGGACTTTAAATTTGTATAGAATACTTTTCGTAGATTGTGGTTGATGTGAACTCTTTTGATTATATTGAATTTAAGTAGATTGTTAGATTCTTGTGATTTTTTGCTCTCTTCGCATTTAAGAGGTTTTTCTACATCAAAATTTTCTTGTGTTTCCTTATGAGTTGGATGTGATTTTACATATTTGCTTTCAAGATTTTGCTTTTTGTAGATTTATTTAAGTAGGAAAGTAATGTGTTAT